TAGGGAAAGGATGAAAGCACTGACCACAGGTAAGGTTGCAAGAAAGGCAGATCAGGACCATTTTTTCACCACCTCGTGATGTGAGAACAAGAGAATATGTAGTGAAATCAAAATGTATAGGTTCAAAATCAAAGTGTCTACTTCACAAAATGTCCCATGAACATCTTTCACTGAAAGTTGTTTACATCAATAATGTAAGGGAATGGTGGTTTAGGGAGGATGTAATAATGTTATTAAAACTCTAATATTGTATTTTAAAGCTTAAACAAATTTCCAGTTACAAGAGGTCAAGGTAAGATCTGATGTAAGGAGTAGATTTGCCTGCTTTGGAGAGTTTGTGTGAAAGAAAGCACTGCTAAATTCTGCTGCTCAGTCCAACAGTACATTTATTAGGCATGGGATCAATAAACCACATCACCTTCCTCTGTCTCGGGTCCTCCACTGTTTACTTTGGCCATGCTTGATTTCATTGGGAACATTACTTGATCAATAAGCCTGGAATAATGACCTAACTGAAAATGCCACATTAGTTAAGAGAGGAGACTTATCCTGAGTGATCTTGTGCTATCAGAAGATAACTACATTTCTCTTCTACTCTGATTTTTCTAATAGGCTAGTTCAATTTTATGTGCAAATTGGAAGCAAGGCTGTTGGTAACTCCTGCAACAGACCAAGAGCCAGGAATGAAGGTAAAACCCCTTTTCTTTATAACAAACTTTTTGTATTTTGAGTCTTCTATAGTGTTTTTGCCTTTTACTGCCTTTGCAAAATAAAAAATATTGGTTTATTTTTAACACAAATTTATAACCTCTTCAGTTTTCTTAAATGGTGCAGAAAACTATTTACTTTTGTTCAACATTTGTTTTTATACTTACTTCCACCAAACCTAATGGTGATCTATCAGTAGGAGTAGCTTCTGGAGCTGGGATGGTTTAAGAAAGACAACATTTACAAGATGAGGTGTAATAGCTTTTATTAGACTACTTGATAGTGTTGGAAAGCAGGTAAATTTACAACTACACAGGACTTTCTTTGGGTCTGAAATAAAAGGAATAAAATTAAAGATCAGGATAAAGTGGGCAACCTCCATTTCTGACCTGAAGAAGAGTTGTATGCCTGAAAACTTGTTCAGTTTCTCAACTACACCAGTGGGTCTAATAATAGATTGCCTTCCAGCCTAAGCTCATGCATCGTTCACTTGAAATCTGAAATTATAAAGCTGCAGCTGAAAATAGAATTATTCTAAGGAATTCATCTCTCCCAGCTGTCTCCTCTCTTATTTTACCCACATTCTTAGGGTTATTGGGGTGGGGGGCTGATACTTGTGTTTGGGAAAGATCAGCAGAATTTTGGGAGCAGATTCCCCATGTAAAGTGGTCTTGTTGCGTGAAGACAGACCACTGACATCTGGTAGCTGAGAAAATTTCATTTTCCTCTCAGTAGAAATCATTTCACA